AATGATAGAGGATGATTGCTTGTGAAGAGATATGATCACGGAGCTATTTTTGCCTCAAAATGCTTGCTGCAAGGGGACTTCATCACATCCTTTTTCTCCCGTTCAAATTTGGGTAATCCTGCTAATGCATGATCAACAAAAAGCTTGGAATTTCTTCTTCTCATGTTCTGTTGATACTTGTTTGACTCTAAACTCCCATTTGCTAAAGTGGAGAATAGTGCGTTTTAGGTGTTGAGCGAGAAATGTCTCTTCCTCCGTGATTTTTTAATCACACGAGTGTGGATTATCGTTATCACGAGAACTATTATTTAAGTTTAACTATTCCTAACTTCAATTTACAAAACAATTAAAAGTGATTTCAATTATAATCCTAAAAATTATAAATCTATGAAAACAATTATAAGTGAACGAATAACAATTTAGAATTTTTAATTGATGTATGAAAGTGTTAAGATTTACGAGTTTACCATAGCTATCCCCATATTCTCAACCATCAAATTTCGACAATTATCAATTACTTGTAACCATTCAAATTCTTTTAAATTAATTGATTGACCTCTTTTGAGTTCAAACTAATCCTACTCAATTAAGTCTATTCACTTTATCTCTACGTGAATAAAAGAGCCTTATTATTCAATCACCAACAAATTCAATTAAAGACCGGAAAAATTAGTATAAATGTATATCTACATTCTAACCAAATTTCGGTTTATACCTCACCTCATGATTAATTACCTTTTATAAAGCAATTGTGATAAGTAATTCAAAGCAAGGATGCATTAATTAATATCACGAGAACATCCATTTAAATCATGCAAGTCATATGAACATATCTTCCTATCGAACCCCTTAACAATAGTTATGCATTCTATATTCCTTATTATTTCTCTCATATACAATAAAGATCACACAAAATTTAACTAGTAGTTAATTGTTTGAAAACATTAAATTCTATAACTATCATTCAAAATAAAGAAAACATAAACCATCAACGTCTTGTAATTAATATTAAAAATATTATAGGCTTGGGTTCATATATATTTTAGAGACTGAAAGTTTAGCCTAACATCACAAAGCTACAAGAAATCATGTAAGAATAATGAAATATCATCCAGAATTTAGAAATATGAAGAAAAAGAGGAAAAGCCACTAATTGTTGAATCTCTTCAAGTCTTTTTAATTTATCTGAAGTCGCACCACTTTCTTCTTAGCCAAAAAACTGAGAAATAATCTTTAAAGATGGATTCCTTGCACCATGCCTCTTATTTTTCCTGAAAAGAATGATATTTGCCTTTCTTAATTGCAAAAAAATTGTATAATTTTCGTATGAGAGGTGCCCAGTTGTTTGCTGAAGGTTGATATTTACAGAACAAGATTATATATAGGTCAAAATTTGTGTTTCAATTGAATTCAAAAACGAGATTGAGGAGAAACAGGAAAACAGTTTGTCCAATATGCTCATCAAATTTCTTCCATAGTTCAATTTGAGTCCTTTTCATATACAATTTTGGTCAATCTTTCAACTTCATCCGATTTAATCCATATAATCTTCAATTTCAATCCTTGATCCGCATCAACTTGTAAAGATTTGTAATTTAGTCTCGAAAAACTTTGTAACTATTACGCCACCTATCCGAACCACTTCGGAAAGTCTTCCACTGTGTCAAGCGAAGTGCCCAACACCCATCCGAAGTGGATCCGATGTGACTCCATCACCAATGTTAGCGAGCCGCTAACATGCTGCGAGGCACGAACAATTGTACTGAACCAATTAAAGCGTTCTTGCCTCTGACCCCCGAAGTACAATGCACTCGATCTCTATCAGATGATCTGCCGTCAATTTCAGAAAGAGATCTGTGTCAAGATCCTCTCTTCCCCCAAAGTTTAATTGATTTGACGTCTCCATGGGCTTAGTTGATGTGACGTATCAACTTTATGTCAACTCAACTCGGGAGTAGTTATTACCTGCCCACTCTATAGACGCGACTAATTGACGCCTTTGAGCAGACGCCTCACACCATGAGATGCATATACGTGTCCCACATCTAATGGTTCTCCTCAACTATAAATACCCAAGGTTTGATAAGAGACAAAGGTGACGAAACTCTTACAACTTAGCTCTTCATAACAAGTAAATATATATTCTCCTTCCCAACCTTTTTGCACAACTTTGGCACTATTCCGATCACCAGGAGCTAACTTGACCATCGTAGTGTATGCGGTCGCCGCCATCCCCCCTAGTTTCGGTCGTGTGCATCTGACCGTGCGTTGACTGTGCGCAGGGAGGATTACGTAGAGCAGCTATCGATTGGCCACGTGAAGGGTCCAATTTGCGAGGTCAACAGATTGTCGCCGTCTATGGGAAACACTTCCTATCCAAAGGTCTGCATTCTCCACCGAAAAACCCTTGACTTACCCTAAAAATGGGATGTTCTTGAAAAAGAACAAAGTCGAATTACAATCCAGATCCTCATCACCCTTGAAAAAGGAGTAGGTAAGATGAGTTTCAGCAATGAGGACACGAACCCCAGGATGGACGCCTCTGAAGAAGAGGTGCTCTGAAACAATGTCACTCACCAAAGGCCCCATCACTGGCGTCGCCAAGGTGAAAGAACGACCATGCTCACTGAAGGAATGTGCCAAATAGCTGCGGGCATGAGAGATATCGCAACTTAAAATATGGTGATGCATGAATTATTGCGAGCCCAAGGTCACCAGGGCGCCCAATTGCCCCAAGAATCTTACCCAGCTCATGAGGTCCCTGAGTCTCGTTCTCGAGGCCATATGAGCCAGCACAGAGTAACCCCCCTCTGGAGAAAAGTGGGTACGGAAGTCACATCCTATGTGCAAGGGAGCCAGCCAGTAGAATCGCAATTGGGGGATAACTTCCCACCAGAATATGAAGCATAAAGGTCGGTCAGTGTAATTGACCGGATAGGGCGGGACCCTAGTAATAGGGTCCGCTCAGTGGAAAGATCAGTTCAACAACGGGAAGAACAAGAACAAGTGCCCCCTCCACTTAGAAATAGGAAGGAGAGAAGAAACTTAGTTGATTGGGGTTGCCGAGGAAGAGCAGCTCTACCTCCCAGACGCAAGATGAAGGGGACTCTGAAGGGCCATGTCGATCTTACGAGATTGATGATGATGATGATGATAATTTCCCTTTCTCAAGAGAGATCCGAGGCTCCCCGATGACTGTAAACTTCGTACCACCTTAAATCCCCAATTATGAAGGAAAAAGGGGACCTGGAGAAGCACCCCACGAAGTACATGACACAGATGAGTCTTAGAGGAGCCTCGCCTGCTTTGAAATGCAGAGCCTTCCACCTAACCCCTGGCCGGAGCTGTCGAAGTGTAGTACAGCAAGTTGCCTCCTCTGACCATTAGGAGTTGGCTAGAGCTAAAAAAAGGCTTCTTGAACCAGTACCTCTCATGTAGAGAAGGAGAAACCCTAGTGCAACGCCTGCAAAATATGAGACAAGCCTCTGGAGAAACGCTGAAAAGCTACCTCGCCAGGTTTATGGACGAGATCACCTATTGCGAGCAGGTCACTGACAGAGAAGCCCTTTCAACTTTGAAAGGCGGCTTCAACATGAACACTTTGTTATGGAGGGATGTACGCAGCAAGAATCCTACCATTTATGATGAACTGGTGGAAATGATGAGTTGAGATCGTCAGCGAAGAGATGATTGATCACCAAATTGTGTCGCACAAGGACTCCCTACGCCTTAGAGACAAGTAGGTCAAAGACCCGCAGTGTACCTTGTCACCCAGCAATGGACCCAGGCAGGACATACAGTAGCTCCCACGTCCGGATAGGTACTAGCTTCTGCCACGCTAAATGCAGTGCTAGTATTGACATATGAGAATACCCTTGTTGAGGCGGGACCATCTAGGGGTACTGATAGTAGCCGAAACAAGAAGAAGAAGCGGTCAAATAGGCCCTTAGAAGGGCAAGGGTCTGCAACTTTCACTAACTCTATGGACATGACACCAGCGAATGTAGAGACGCTCCGCGGTGCTCAGATCGGAATAACCCACATCCCTCTAGGAGGGACGAATATCCCCGTAAATCTGCTTCCCCGAACAGGGGTGAAAGGAGATAGAGAAATCAATCACCCCGACGAAAAGCATGAGGGACAGAGGAGAGTCCGAACAGAGAAATCATGCCCCAATTTCTGGAGGCCAAATCATAAGAGAAATTGACACGATCATCGGGGGACCTCATTAGGAATGCCCAAAGAAACTACACAAGAGAAGCAAAGGATCCGTCGATGCTCACGTACATCATCGATCGGTCCCAAGAAACCAACAGGATGGCCCTGATTACCTTCTCCCAAGAAGATACACAAGGAGTTCACTACCCCCATTGTGACGCATTGGTAGTAAGAGCCGTAGTAGCTAGAAATGGACTCAAACACATGCTTGTTGACAACGGCAGCTCGATGAACATAATGTTTGGCTCTACCTTCAACAAAATGCAAATTGAACATGGGCTAATCCCCATGACCGACCCACTATTTGGATTTACTGGAGACAGCATCATCCCACGAGGACGAATTACTTTGCCCATTAAGATGGGTTTTGCTCCCCTAGTGGCCCAACATTTCATGGAGTTTTTGGTAGTAGACCACAGGTTAGCCTACCATGGAGTATTAGGTAAACACGTCTTGAAAGATCTTTGGGCTGTCACCTCCATACATTACCTGTGTATGAAGTTCCCAACTGAGCATAAAATTGCTATAGTTCGAGGCGACCACATGGGCTCCAGAGAATGTTATCTAAACTCTCTGTGAAAATCATAGCCCCGCACTGTTAATGTAATCATAACGGAGGTCGCGAGAGAACCCGACTTGGATGTGAAAATGCTCGATGCCCCTGAAATAGGGCATACCTTTGAACAGGAAGAAGTGTTGACATGGAATAAGCCCTTGAAGAAGGGCACCCTCTTGACGAATTAGACCCCCAAATAACTGGCTCAAAACCAAACGTGACACCAATGGAAGAACTTGAAACTTTCTTCGTCAACCCAGAGGACTTCAGTCAGGTCTTGCGGATAGGAAAGTCATTGTCCTCCAAAGCGAAGGAACAAATGATTAGCTTCCTGAAAATGAACATGGATGTCTTCGCTTGGAAGCATGAAAACATGGTAGGGATAGACCTAAGGATCAGTTGCCATCGCCTAAACATCAACGCCTCCTGTGCCCCCACATCGGTAGAAAAGACGGGCCCTCAACCTAGAGAGGTACGAGGCGCTCAAAGACGAAGTCAACAAGCTTAACCGCAGCAGCTTCATCAGAGAAGCCATTTATCCGAAGTGGATATCCAACCTGGTTCTTGTGGGGAAGCCTAGCGGGAAATAGAGGCTGTACGTAGACTTTACGAACTTAAACAAAGCATGCCCTAAGGATAGCTTTCCACAGCTGAGGATAGACCAACTTGTGGATTCCACTGTCGGACATGAACTCTTGAGCTTCATGGATGTGTACTCAGAATACAACCAGATACCTATGTTTCGACCTCATCAGGAGGCCACATCATTCATCACGGATAGAGGACTATATTGCTACAAAGTCATACCCTTCACATTGAAAAATGTCGGAGCTACATATCAGAGGCTGGTCAACAAGATGTTTGCCGAACTCATTGGCAAAATCATGAAAGTCTACATGGATGACATGCTAGTTAAAAGCCTCCAGGCAAATAAACACGTAAGTCACCTTAACCAGACCTTTCAGATTCTTAGGAAATACAAAATGAAATTGAACCTCCTCAAATACACCTTCGGCGTGGCTTTGGGTCAGTTTTTGGGGTACATTGTGAACCAAAGGGGAATCGAGGCAAATTCGGTAAAGATTAGGGCCTTACTAGAAATCTGGTCACCTTAGAAGCCGAAGGAGGTCCAGAGCCTCAATGGTCAGATAGCTGCGCTCAGCCGCTTCATCTCTAGAGCCACTGATAATAGCCTACCCTTCTTCAAAGTGTTGAAGCAAGGGAAGAAGTTTCAATGGACCGATGAGTGCGAGGAAGCCTTCCAAGGGCTAAAGAAGCACTTAGGAAAGGCGCCTCTGTTATCCAAACCTAAACCACATGAATCACTACGCTATACTTGGCGGTCTCGGGCGAGGCGATCAATGCAATCATAGTTAGAGAAGAAGATGACTATCAATTGTCGGTATACTATGTCAGCAAAGCACTACTCTCCGCAGAAACCCGTTACCCGGACATGGAAAAACTGGCACTCGCCCTCATCACGGCGTCAAGGAAACTGAGGCCATACTTCTAGGCCCACTCAATCAAAATTCTCACCAACTTCCCATTAAAGTATGTACTATAGAGAACGGAAGCTTCGGGCCGCCTGCTAAAATGGGCAATTGAACTCAGTGAGTTCGACCTACTGTTCCAACCCAGATATGCCATCAAGGGACAAGCCCTTGCAGATTTTGTGGTTGAATTTGCCATAGTGCCAGAAATGGAGGCAGCAATGAAACCAGCCGGGCCCCCAACATGGCATTTGTTCGTGGATGGATACTCTGGAAAAACTGGCTTCGGAGCTGGGATCGTCTTGGAAAGCCCGAAAGGCCACAAGCTAAATTGCGCAGTAAGGTTTAGCTTTAAAGCCTTGAACAACGTTGCCGAATATGAGGCCCTTCTAGCAGGCCTTAGGCTCACAAAAGAAATGCAGGTCAAAAGGCTCCTGGCAAACAACAACTCTCAACTTGTGGTAAGTCAGGTCAACGGGAACTTTGCCGCCAAAGACAGTAGCATGGCAGCATATTTAAAATTGGTCCTGGACCTAATCCCACATTTCGAGAGGTTCAAATTAATTAAAGTCCCTTACCTCGAGAACACTCATGTGGACGCCCTATCAAAATTGGCCAGCAGCAAAAACTCAAAGCTGCTAAAGATAGTCTCCATTGAACGCTTGTCGAAGCCCTCCATCTCCGGAGGTGAAAAGTTGTTATGGATAGAAAGTATCCTAGTATGGATGCAACCCATCATGGTCTATCTTAAGGATCAATCACTACCAGCTTCAAGAAGGGAGCTGGGGAAGTTAAGAAAGAGAGCCGCGCACTTCGTCTTACATGAGGATGTCCTCTACAAAAGAGGCTTCGCCTCACAACTTCTCCAATGTGTAGGAGGGGAAGAAGCCATGTATATATTCAGGGAGGTCTACAAGGGGATCTATGAAAATCACTCCGGGGGAATGGCTCTAGCACACAAAGTGCTCCGACAAGGCTACTTCTGGCCAACCCTGAAAAGGGATACTTGCCAATTCGTTCAGAAATGTAATAAGTGCCAGCGCTTTTCAAATATTCAAAGATAGCCTTCTCAAAGCCTCTCTGTAGTCACCAGTCCTTGGCCATTTGCTAAATGAGGCATCGACTTTATTGGTCCACTCCCAAAAGGGAGAGGAAGCGTAATTTTTGCCATTATCGCCATTGACTACTTCACTAAGTGGGTCGAGGCAGAACCTCTTGCCAAGATCACTGAGGCGAATACTACAAAGTTCGTGTGAAAGAACATCATTTGCAGGTTCGACTTTTCCCACTTCTTAGTGTCCAACAATGGGAAAGAGTTCGACAACAAGAATATGCGAGACCTATGCAAGGAACTAGGGATGAAAAAGGATTTCTCGACACCTCATCACCCCCAAGCAAATGGGCAAGTTGAGGTGGTGAACAAAACCATCAAGCATACCTTGAAAATGAAGCTTAACGCCTCGAAGGGGGTGTGGGTCGATGAGTTTTCCCACGTCCTCTGGGCCATCCACACAACTAGCCGAACCGCTATTGGGGAGACACCCTTCTCAATGACCTACGAAGCTGAAGCCATGAGCCCTGTTGAGGTAGGGGTCCTATCATATCATCGAATACACTTCAATGAGATCGGTAACGACGAAGCTCGAATGAGGAAACTTCACCCCTTCGAAGAAAGGAGGGATACCTCCCAAGTGCAACTGGCCAAGTATCAAATGAAGATGACCCGCTATTACAACTCTAAAGTCAAAAATTGAACTCTTCGATAGGGGGACATCGTCCTAAGAAGGGTCTTCCAATCGTCAGAGCTGACTGGGGCTGGAGTGTTTGGACCAAATTGGGAGGGTCCTTATCGCATCTGCAAGGAGTCTTAACCTGGTACTTTTGAATTGAAGATATGACAGGGAGAGTATTGCCTCATCAATAGAACATTGAACACTTGAGAAAGTACTATCAATGATGAACGTATGATCCGATCCGATCACGATGCTGTCTAATATGTGTTTTCAATCTCATTTGTAACTTCCCTATCTTACTAAGTGCTGAAATTGCCTTAGTGATGGATGATGTAACCTCTAATTAATGATACTTCAGTTCTTTATGTCTAACCAGTTAATGAGTTGTTGCCTCAGTTCTTTAATATGTTATTGCTCCGATCTCCTTTATTCGACTAGTTATTGGTAAGTGGTGCTTATTGTTTGCTTAAGTGTTTGTCATTCATATACTCAAGTATAAATAGCTCAACACAATGAAAAGGCAGAAGCAACAATACTTAAACAAAAATTTTCATTTCATTCATCTGAAATTGAATTATAAAAGAGGTCGAAGTCATTATAGGAATGACCCTATTCTACTGGGGCATCATTCGCGCAAGCATCCGCCTCGCCCATCTCCGGGACCTCTTGAGCCTTCTCTGCAAACCTGTTAGCTGGCATCCACTAGGCCCACCGAACTCTACCTCCAAAGAGGATATGTCCAGAGTAGGGTAGACCTCTTTTAGCCGACCCAACAATCATTGGGCACTCCAAGAGGCCTAGTAATTGGCAAAGTCGTCGTACAGGGGGTGCTCCTCGAAATGGACAATAAAGTTCTGCATCGCCACCTCTCCTACCGACTTCATCTCCCCCTTTAGGGAAGCAATCTCCTCAGCCTAGGCCTCCACCCTCTGCCTCAGCTCAGCTTTTTCTTTATTGGAGGCCTCCAGGACCTCCGTGGTAAGCCGGTAGTGCTCATTGGCATGATCCACTCTTCTGGTCATTGCAGCAACCTGGCACTCCACTTCATGAAGCTCCATCTTCAGCCACTCAATCTCACCCTTAGCAGTCGCGTTCCCATAATACATCACCTCCTCAAGGCGCTTGGCGAGGTCCTCCCTCTCGGCATTATTGGATACTTGTGCTTAGGGCCCGGGCCATAAAGGCACTATTGGCAGCAATGAGGTCATCGATGGTGCAGGCGGCAGTGTGGTCTCTCCATTCCTTCGTCCAATGCTTGTTGTGGACCACTGCCATTGCTGTCGTCTCCAGAGAAAGAACCTCCAGCACCTTTTTTACCGGCTCCTCTGAATTTGTGCCCAAGAAGTCCTCCTCTTTCGAAGGACGGGCTCTCTTCCTCTTCGACTGCCCCAGCACTTGGGTAACTGGAAGAGCAGCAATTGGAGCTATAGTTTGGGCAGGCGAAGCCTCGGAGGATGCAGGTGTCTTCTCCGGGATGGCCACCCCAGTAGGTATGGTGGTCTACTTTAGGATCGGGGGTGGCCTCACCATTGTTGGGTGCTTTGAAGGGGCAACAGACTTCTTGCCCTTCTGCAGCAAGTTGGCCTCTGGATCCTCCGCCACCTCTTCCTCTATCGGAGGCTTGAGTCTCTTGCTGGCATCCACCAGATCCTCCATCTACTTTTTGTATGCAGCAGAGGAAGTCTTCAAGGTTCTCGCCTCAGCCATCATCTTCTGGATGGTCTTGAAGTCAGGCCTCAGAGGCATCTTCCTGTTAAAGTTATCTGCAAAGAAAAATGCAAATTGTTACAAGTGTAAAGGGTCCAGAAAACTACTAGAGTATTTACTTCAAGAATTTTACCTTGAGAAGCCATCAGATCATGCGTCACGAAGTGAATGTTCTTCCTAATCAGCTGGTGGTATGACCTCTTCTTCGGAGGTAGCTGATAGATGATGTAGATGATATCAAAGTCATCGGTGGATATCTCACACCGAGGAAGAGTACTTGCAAAAGCAAATAAATATCAGTTAAGATCTGAACCGAAGAAGAATAAACATAAATGCAAAGTAGCTAGTACTCACTAAATGTAGAATACTTCGTAGGGACCATAAGAGGTGCCAGAGGGTCCCTCTCTATTGTGTTCCATCTCCCTGTAGCCCAGCACCACGAGCTCTTCCACTCCTTAATGGAGCTCGGCTGATCGAGCACGAATGGAGTATGGGAATCACATGAGGTCAGGTAATACCAGCCCCTAGTCTTCTCCCCCAGTCGCTACCTTAGGGATGTAGAGGGTCTGAAAGATAGAAAAGGACATCTCTACCCCAAGCGACGCCTCCTTCCATAGCATCCAGGAGCCCACCATTTGGCTCCAGGAGTTCGGGTTCAACTGGGTCAGAGCTAAACCATAAGACCTAAGGATTAAGCGGAAGAAAGGATGGATTGGAAGCCTAAGGCCAGCCCCAAGGATCGCTTCACTAATTGTCACGCACCCTGGCCTAGGGTAGCAGGCTCTCTCGTCGGGTTCAGGTAGGATCGAATCTACATTGTCTGGAATCCTATATTCCACCCTAAGTCTATCGAGGTCGGTACTTTTTAGTTTTGAAGGGTAACTCGACGCCCCCCAATTGCATAGACACGTCTACTGGGCTATTAGGCCTCTTCCATATATTCTCCCCCACCCCCCCAATTATCACTTCAGAAATTTCGGAGTAGGTTGCCAAAATGGGCTCATCCATTCGTACTAATTCCAGCCCCCTCCCCGAGCTACCACTATCCTCAGAAGCCATTTGTTCAGAAATGAAAGATTTCAAATACTTACTGAAACTCAGAAACACCGTAAAGTCGTCGAAAACTGGAGTTACGTCGGAAAATGCTTGAACAATGCCGAAAAATGCCTGAACAACGTCGGAAAATGCAAAGGTTTTAAGAGAAAATGATGTTTCTGATTTTGCAAAAGTAAAAAACTCCCCAAACGCTCAAGTCTGCCTTTTATAGGGCGTCACTGCTGATCTCCACCGTTGAATTCAAATACAATCAATCTAGGCTGTCCGTCACATCATCAATCTAGGTCGTTGAAATGAAACGTCAGATTTGATCTACGCACAAGATCTAGTTGTGACCCTCACGCTCACGTGAAACGCGTTGCCTCGATCACCATCAGCCATCTACAATAAGTAGCCGCAACAGCCTTTTCTGGGAATGGGCATTGCATACAACTGTCACCTTGGAAATATGCGACAACTGTCAAATCAGTTGACGTTAGAAATGTTTGCCTCAGATCGAGCAGATGAGCTCTTCACAACTTTACAAAGCTTAGACGCAGCTGACGCCAAGTCCCCTGTGGGTCATCGCCTCGGTAGTTACATCCCCTCTTAAGCTTTACAAAACTTTAGTCATCTCCCAACGCATCGTCCCCTGTGGGTCAACGCACCAGGGACAATTGAGCTCCTCACAACTTTACAAAGTTTTGACGCACCTGACGCGAAGTCCCCTATGGGTCATCGCCTCGGTAGCTGCATCCCTTCTTAAACTTTACAAGGCTTTAGCCATCTCCCAACACATCGTACGCTGTGGGTCAATACACCAGGGACAGTTGAGCTCCTCACAGCTTTACAAAGTTTAGACGCACTTGACGCGAAGTCCTCTTTGGGTCATCGCCTCGGTAGCTGCACCCCCTCTTAAGCTTTACAAAGCTTTAGCCATCTCCCAACGCGTCATCCCCTGTAGGTCAGCGCACCGGTGACAAATGAGAATTTAGCTTTACAAAGCTCAGACGCAATAGATGCGATGTTCCCTGTGGATCATCGCCTCAGTAGCTTCATCCCCTCTCAATCTTTACAAAGCTTTAACCATTTCCCAACGCACCGTCCTGTTGGCCAGCACATCAGTTACACATAAGCTTCTTCCTTAGGCAATAATAAAGCTTTGTCCCCCGAAGATATGTCCCGACCTTCTTCTCTTCAGTGAACATAGAAAACCATCCCAAAAGCTCTCACAAATCGCGGTTCCTATCTCAAGGCAGACTTACCCGATCGGGAAAACAAGTCCATCCATGATATAAATATTCATGCCTGAACTTGGGAGGACCACTGTTACGCCCTCTATCTGAACTACTTCGGAAAGTCTTCAACTGTGTCAGACGAGGTGTCCAACACCCATCCGAAGTGGATCCGATGTGACTCCATCACCAATGTTGGCGAGCAGCTAACATGTTGCGAGACACGAACAATTGTATTGAACCAATCGAAGCGTTCTTGGCTCTAACCGGCCAAAGTACAATGCGTTCTGATCTCTGTCAGAGGATCCGCCGCCAATTTCAGAAAGAGATCTGTTTCAAGATCCTCTCTTCCCCCAAATTTTAATTGATTTGACGTCTCCCTGGGCCTAGTTGATGTGACGTATCAACATTATGTCAACTCAACTTGGGAGAAGTTATTACCCGCCCACTCTATAGACGCGACTGATTGACACCTATGAGTAGACGCCTCACAATGTCAGATGTATACACGTATCCCACATCTGACGGTTCTCCTCAACTATAAATACCCAATGTTTGATAAGAGGCAAAAGTAACGAAACTCTTACAACTTGGCTCTTCATAACAAGTAAATATATATTCTCCTCCCTACCCTTTTTGCACAACTCTGGCACTGTTCCGATCACCAGGAGCTAACTTGAACGTCGGAGTGTACACGGTTGTCGCCACCCCCGTTGGTTCCAACTGTGTGCATTTGACCGTGCGTTGATTGTGCGCGGTGAGAATTACGTGGAGCAGCTATCGGTTGGCCACGTGGAGGGTCCAATTCGCGAGGTCAACAGTAACTATTCCTTTTTTACCCTTCATTGATAAATTTTCACTTCTTTTCATCAAAACTCATCCAAACTCGAGTTTATCCAACAACAATCAATATTTAACCATAGTAGTAATTTTATCAATTTAAGTATTAAATAAACACTTTTTACAGTTCGGATAGGTATAAAAATCACACATATCACAAATCTTCAATAATGATCCTACAACTTCCAAAAGCTATCGTGTTGGTCTAGGTACTTGTATACTTATTCGAAACTCGACCTTCACAAGTTATGAAATCATATAATGTAGTCCCCAAACTTTTTGAGTGTCAAATTTCACTCCCGAAACTTGTGAATTCTTTCGATTGCTCTCATAATACATCTTATCAATCACGTGCATTTTAGTTAATTTTCAATTGTTGCATTTGTGCTCACAGTTATTATTTTTCATTCCGAATACATCGAAATCTAGGTTTTATCTACAATCAACATAATTTCACTAATTTTATGCAGGAACTCGTTCATTTAGAAGTTATTTATCTAGTTTATAGCATGGTGCATTTTTTAGATTGCTCTCTTAATACTTCTTATCAATCATGTGCATTTTATTTAGTTTTCAATTGTTTCATTTAAGCTCACAGTCATTATTTTTTGCTCCGAATACATCGAAATCTAGGTTTTACCTACAATCAATATAATTAAACTAATTCACGCAAAAATTCATTCATTTAGTAATTATTTATCAAGTTTATAGCCTGGAGAAGTTCGTAAAATATAAACTTATCAATGCCAAGTTGATTTTATCGCTACCAGGTGGAATCCCTTCGATAAAGGATGCACTAATGTGGCACTTTGAGCAGCATGGAATTTGTGAAATTAGGTTTTAGACTTGATATATCTCTATCAGACAAGGGGATTAAATCCTCCTCATATAGAATTGGCTGCATTGTGGAATTTCCAGTGGGATTGAAAACATGATTGTCTATGCTTGATCTTTTCCCATCCAAAATTTGCTTTAGAAAAAAAATCCACCTGAATATTGATCCATGTTGTAGTAGATGTCTGGACTTATTGAGATACCAATCATGTTATTTTCCACATGTGGTGCAGATAAAACAGCTTGGGAAGAGAATGTGTCTAATATTAATGAATGCTTCAATCTTGTGTCTAGCGTGTTAACTTCAATAAATTTAATAATCCCTTCTCATTTTCTTAGAATGTATTCAACAATAACAAAGAGAAATCATGCCTCCAGTGGCTTGTGATTGACTTTCCATAGATTCTTTAGGCTGCAAAAGATGAGAAAATTCACTATGAAGAGAACTACTCTCCATTCCTCTTCAAAACTCTTGAAACTAATATCCCTCTTCTTGCTTAAGAGATGAGAAAGTGCCAACATTTTTCTATATATAGAATCCAATGGGCCAATTCCATATTAAGTGGAGTGAGAGTAGGGGCCTCCATGTGTGTTAATAAAATGGAGCCCATCCCATCATGGACTCAGACAATGACTAAATGAAATGTTAGTCCATATAATAAATATAACAATCTTCCACTTGGACAGCACTTTATTTAATCACTACAAAAACACAAGCAACCATCTCAAAACCAAAAAGCCTTGTCCAAAATGTGCCTTCAAGTTCAAACCAGTGAATGATATACCGACAAGGTAAACAACACATGACGAATACTTGAAATCATGTAACATAGGTAAATGAGATGTAGAAGCAGTATGGAAAATATCAAAAGAGTGATAAACACCCGTTTCCATAAGAAGCCCTAGAGCCAAATCTGAATATCTCTTATAGATAATATGCCTTGTCCATAATGCGCTTGGCTTAGGCACAAGAGTAACCAAAATGTCTCAATACATATAATCATTGCCTTGTCCAAAAATACGCATGACTTAGGCATGAGACTGGTCAAAATGTTGCATTATATTTATAAGCATTGCCTTGTCCAAAATGAGAGTAACTCAAGTAGGAGACTGATCAAAATATCTCAATACATAAAGTATGCCTTGTCCAAAATGTGCATGACTTAGTCATTCATTAACATTACTATATTTTAAGAACAAAACAGAATATGAGTATAAATAATATGGTAAAATAGCAATGATTACAGAACTCTCACTAATCAAATACAACATAAGAATAACAATCCCAAATGAGCCACATGCTCTTGAAACAATTTTGAAGCTAAACCTTTAGTTAGTGGGTTAGCAAACATATGATTTGTCGAAATATGCTCAATACAAATATAAGACTCGGTTATTTTCTCCCTTACAAACAAATGCTTAATATCAATATGTTTAGAGCATGAAAAACTCCTAGTATTCCGAGAGAAAGAAACTACTACAGAATTGTCACAAAATATCTTCAGCGGCCTCGAAATGGTGTTCACTCTACTTAGCCCCGAGATAAAGTTCCACAACTATATATCTTAACATGTAGCCTCATATCAAGTCACATACTCTGGCTCTATTGTAGAGGAAGCAATAAGAGTCAATTTGATTGTAAAGATGAAATTGAATTGCCTAAAAAATGAATTCTAGGGAATTGAATTGCCTAGAATTGTTTTCCTGAGAATTGTAAATTATTGTGCTTGATTGGTATAATTTTTCACGTGGAAAATGTTGAAATAAAAGTATTTTTTGGTGTTTGTTTGATTTTATTTTACAAGAAAATTGTCAATTAAAGGGATAGATTTTACTGGTATTCGAGATTAAATTTGTTTTCGTTGCCAATAAAAGAAAAAAACAAAAATTTCAAGAAAATCATCTATCTTTCAGTGTTCGTTTGGCTTTATTTTACATGGAAATTGTCATTTAAAGGGAAATATTTTTTTACAATAATTCTTAGAATTTGTTTCTATTGTCAACCAAAAAAAAAAGGAAAAAAAATGCTACAGTAGGTAGGAAAACCAATTTCCCACCATATATGGTGGGAATTGGTTTTCTTTAAAGACCAAGAAAAGTCCAAACCTCAAGATAACTAAGAATTCGAATTCAACCAAGAATTTAAATTCCATGGAAAAAAATGTATCAAACACACAAAGTTAGAAAATACAATTCCAATTCCATTTCCACCCTATCAAACACACCCTAACTGTCTGTTTTACACTTTTCCAAGAAACAGCTCCCTCTGCCATCATAAAAACACAACCAAAATTAGACCTCCTATCATCTAAAAGATTTGCAAAATCGGCATCAGAATATCCAACTACATTGAGAATGTCAGATTGTCAATATGTAATCATTAGATCTTTAGTGCCTTGCAAATACCTAAGTACTTTCTTTGCGGCTTTCGAGTGAGTTAAACTGGGATCACTTAAGTATCTTCCAATTACAATGCCAACATATGCAATGTCAGGCCGTGTACATACTTGAACATACATTAAACTTCTCACAACTGAAGAATAGAGAATTGTTTGCATTTAAGTCCTTTCATTATCATCTTGAGGGAATTGAGACTTAGAAAATTCACTTTTCACATTTGGTTCTTTTCTAAGAAAACAAGAATGCATATTAAACTAACTCAAAACTCGGTTAATGTAGGTTTTCTGAGATAATCCAAGAACGCCTCTAGATCTATTACGAAAATTCTGAATCCCCAAAACATAAGAGGCCTCACCAAGATCCTTCATATCAAAATAAAACGATAGCATGCACTTTGTCTCAAGAAAAAGCTCAATGTCATTTGCAGCAAGTAATATATCATCAACATAAAGAACAAGAAAGATATACTTATTCCCTTTGACCCTCAAGTATATGCATTGATCAACAACATTCTCCTTGAAACCGAAAGAAGTGATAATCTCATCAAATTTTAGGTGCTACTGCCTTGATGCATGCTTGAGCCCATAAATAGACTTCTTAAGTTTACAGACCTTGTTCCTTTCCATCTACTTGGAAACTATCTGGTTGCATCATGTACACATCCTCAAATAAGTGTCCTTAAGAAAGGCTGCCTTGACATCCATTTGATGTAACTAGAGATCAAAATGAGTGACCAATGCCATAATAATCCGAAAAGAATCCTTGGTAGAAACAGGCGAGAAGTTATCCTTTTAATCAATGCCTTCTCTTTGATTAAATCCCTTAGCAAAAGCCTAGCTTTATACTTTTCTATCTGACCTTCAGAATTATACTAGGTCTTGAAAACCCATTTATAGCCAATTGGCCTATAGCCACAAGGTAGTTCAACTAAATCCCATACTCTATTTCTACACGTCGACACCATCTCATGATGCATAGCATCTATCCAAAATGAAGATTTAAGACTATCAATGGCCTCCTTAAAAGATGTCAAATCAAGAGACGTACTGGCATCAAACTCATGCTCATGTAAATAGACAATATAATCATCAGTTGGTCTACTAATTCTTTATGATCTTCTCAAAACAATATCATCAGTCCCTACATCAACATCAACCTCAGTGTCAACAACATGGTCTTGGACAATAGTATTGGAACCCTCTATTAATGATGGCACAATCACTGATGGAAGAGTAACCTGAATTGGTATAATAACACGCTCCTCCCTAAACAGAACTTCACGTGGAGCGAAGCTCTTACTATCACTAACATCTTCAAAGAAAATGGCTCTATCAGATTCAACAATTCTAGTATCATTAGAAGGGTAATAGAATTTAGAGCCTCTTGATCCCACACAATAGCCAACAAAATATCCAATGATGGTCTTAGGATCAAGTTTCTTCTACTTAGGATTATAAGACTTTATTTCTACTCTATAGCCCCAAACACGAAAATGATGCAAACTAGGGCTTTTACCTAACCATAACTCATAAGTTGTTTTAGGAACCGATTTGCTTGGTACTTGATTCAAAATGTAGGTAGCAGTATTCAAAGCCTCACCCCACAAAAAGTTAAGCAAAGTAGAATGACTAAGCATACACCACACCATATCCACAAGAGTACAATTTCTTTTTTCTGCAATAACATTCTATTCAGGGGTCCCAAGTATTGTATACTGAGCCTCAATACCACATACCTCGAGAAAACTAGCAAAAGGTCCAAGATATTCACCAGTTTCATCATATCTCCTATAAAACTCACCTCCTCTATCCGATCTTATAGCTTTGATTTCATTTTTTAGAGCTCCATGGCAGCCTTGAAAGCCTCAAAGGCTTCCAATGAATCTGATTTTTCTCGAATGAGCTCAACGTAACCATAGCGAGAATTATCATCAATAAAAGTAATTAAGTATTTATAATGTCTCAAAGTGGCAAGTAAAATGGGACCACAAAGATCAGTATGAATTAAATCAAGAATTTTGACACTTCTACTAATCTTTTGTTTTCTGGTTTTCACTGGAAGCTTCCCTCTGATACAAGCAACACAAATTTCAAAATCAAAGAAATCCAAGTCAACTAGTATACCACCTTTAGTCAACTTTTTTTTAAGAAATATGACCCAACCTTTTATGCTATAACATGGAAAAGTTTTCATTGGATCTAGTACATTTAGAACCAACTACAGTATTCACAACAGATAAGAAGTAGAGTTTAAAGCAAAAAATAAGTTAATTCTATAAAAACCATCATATAATGTTGCAGTACCAACTACAACAAAATTATAATAGATTGTAGCCTTTCCATTTCCAAAATGAAAAACATATCCACATTTATCCAAAATAGAAACAAAGATAAAATTTCTTCTAATAGAAAGTATAAAAACAGTATCAGACAAGTTCAAAACATGCTTAGAAGCCAAACTAAGTCTGATTGTTTCAATACGTTCAACTTTAACCTTCACTCCATTGCCAATGTTTACTACTGTCTTTGTGTCAATTGGTCTTCTGTGATTCTTTAATTCCTACAAAGAATTTCTAGCATGAATCGTTACACCAGTATCTAGCCACCAAGTATCAGAAGGCACATCGATTAGATTAGATTCAAAACATACTAGTAGCGAATGTGTAACTTTCTTATCCATCCAAGCTTTAAACTTCCTATTGTCTACCTTCTTGTGCCCAAAAATATGATAGAAGTTACATTTGCCCTTGAAACCTTCCTTCTTAGGCCCATTTGGAACACTCACGATAGCTTGTTGAGGAGATCTCCTAGATTTCTTCATTTTACTGGAGTTGCTACTATTACCTTTGAAAAATTTCTTCTCCCCTTTATCAGCAGTTATCATGAAAGCAGCATGAGACTTTGCCTTTTAATAATCTCTTCTTCTTGAGTTACAATAGCAATCATTTCACTCAAATTCTGTTCTTCTTTCTTAGTATTATAAATAGTTTTGGAGTATATCAAACTGAGGTGGCAAGGATTCAAGTACTTGTCATACAAGAAAGCTATCTGCTAACTCAACTTTCATTCCTTTCAGCTTGTTAAAGAAATGAGTAAGCTTCATAATGTGCTCTCTAACTCCACTAACCCCATCATAGGTTGTTAGTAAGAAGTTTCATCAGAGTTCCCTTTTCTGACTTGTCAAACTTAGTAAATTTCTTCCCAACAGCCTCAAGATACTCTTTGGCATTATCTGTATCAGATATGCTCTGCCAAATAGACTTGTCAATACTATACTTCATGATCATAAGATAAGTCCTATTAAAATGTACCCATTGCTCATAAATAGTCTTTTCGGTTACAGTACTTTCAATAGTGAGTTTGGTAGGTACATCAATCCTCAAACCCAAATCTAAATTCATGATAGCCAGATTAATAGTGAGAGACACATATCAATCCTCATGATTTGTTCTTGTTAGACTCTTGATGGCAGACAAAGAGAGAGAGAGAGAGAGACATGGTTACATTGCCATAAGCAGAGAAAAATACAATAAAAATTGATTTAGCATATAGAATGAGAAACATGCAAGCACAAAAGTATCCACTTGGCAACTATGAATCCATGCTAGAGTTTTATTCAAAATAGATTCTTACACACTATGCTAGAACCCAAGACACACACAATGCTTTTAAGTATGATAAAACAAAATAAATAAATACAAATACTTAAAATGACCCATTACCGAAAGGATAGAATCAGGCCACCAAGTGCTAAGTACTGAACTATTATCTTTATCGTCCTAAGCATCCTATCAAATAATGATTTACCAATAAGGCAAATTCATTATCCGTATGAATCTTAGTATAAAGTCATTAAGCGAAAGCATGACCAATATAATAATCCCGATAATTTATCATGACTAGTCCCATGAGAGATGAGTACATAGCCACTCCAAAACATCGGTATACAACAAAATGATATAATCCACATGGACAAAACATTTATTCATCTTAAAAGAGATTATGCATTTCTTTTCTCCAATTAACAAATATGGAGTAATATCAACAAAAATACATAAAGACATAAAATGAAAACAATTTTGCGAGATAAGATATCAACAAACCATTAACTAATAACATAAACTCTAACCAATGCTTAAAGCTTAAACAATACCCAATGAAATATTAAACGATTAAATGGATATAAATTGTTAAAACTCAAAACAACCAGAAATAACTAGAAGTCATCCACAAAATGCAATACAATAATTGTTTAGAATAGCACAAAACCCATCTAACAATGATTCAAAATTGAATGGTTAGGGAACTAATGTAAAACCAACTCAACCTTTTTAAACTCGCCGATTGAATAAACAACCAAATTAGTGGCATAAAAAAAGGAAACGGCAAGCTATCTCCAATAATTAGTCAAAAAAAGTTAGCATAACATTTCTCTCTCCAACAAGGATTATCCAGATTGTAGTGTGCTCCAAATAATCAATCACAATAGCCAACGAAAAAGAAATAGTACAAAGCCATAAAAATGAGAAGGGAGCTACTCTGATACCAATTGTTAACTTCAATTAATTTAATAATTCCTTTTCATTTTCATAGCATGTATTCAATAATAACAAAGAGAAATCATATCTCCAATAACTTTTGATTGACTTTCCATAGATTCTTTAGGCTGCAAAAGATGAAGAATTTGCTATGGAGAGAACTATTCTTTACTCCCTTTCAAAACCCCTAAAACCGATATCCCTCTTCTTGCTTAAGAGATGAGAAAGGGCCAACATGTTTATATATATAGAATCCAATGGGCCAATTCCATATTAAGTGAAGTTAGAGTAGGGGCCTCCATGTGTGTTAATAAAAAGGGGCCATCCTATTATGAGCTCAAACAATGACTAAATGAAATGCTAGTCCACATAATAAATATAACATAGCACGGAAGGGATTTTTCCTCTCCTCGTTGCCAAAGTGAGCGCTACTTGGATGTTTGTTGTTTACAGAGTAATTGAATTGTTGAAATGCACGAAATAAGATCTTCATCTCCAAAGCATCTAGTCACTTGGTAGACTTTTTAGGGATTCTTGTTTATACTTAGCTGAATGTCAAGCTATGCTAGTTCTGGAACAAATTAAAAATTCTAGTGCCACTGTTACCTAAAATTAAATATGGACTGCATTATCAGATAGAGGATATGGTCTTAGTGTGGGGTTGGACTGGTTGGTATGCAAAAATCGTGATGAAGTTGTTGCAAAAATCAGGTCGAAAATGTCACACCATATATTGTAGAATGTTATGCTATATTGGACGAAGTATCCTTCGCCCAAGCTCATGGTCGAAAATGTTATGCTTTCTATTGATATGGTTATAACAATAGAAAGCATCCTGAAATCCTGCTGGCAAAAAAAAGGAAAGCACCCACACAAGAGGTAGGAGCTAATCTTTTACTAAAGGAAAAGCTGGAAGACATAAAGTGATATGTCATAGTGAAACTGGCTATATTTAATTTCACTAATAGGGTGTGGATTCAAGAGTCCTGAGTTTCATTACTGACTTTGTAAACAACTATCGTTCTTAATAATTTGACAATCTTGAATTCGGCAAGGTTTTTTTTTGAAAATTGATTAGACTAACTTGTT